TTTGCATATAATTGTGCCGTTTTGTGTGTCACGCTACAAATAAGTTGACGCCGTCGTCTGATATATAGCGAATTTATTTCTTTCGCTCATTTACACACAGTTTACAGTCATCACAACTTGCAGTGTTACAATCACTGCTCACAATATCTCGGCGAGACACTGGACTCTCTTCCCCGAAGGCTGGCCCGGGACTTTCTTCTCCGGAGGCTTGATGACGGCTGGCTTCTTAGCTGGCTCTTCCGAGACTCCTGTTTCTCGCTGAAGCCGGGCTATCTATAACCTTGCCCGCTGTTAGGCAACGAACCCTCCGTTATAACCATGGAGACTCCTGTTAGAATTACCATGGAGCAATTGTTGTCTCCTCTGTAATGGTCTATTGTAGCGTTTCCATAGAAGTTACTCCTCTGGTTTGCCGACACGTTACAATATCTTTCAGGTGGTCACTTAAGATTTATTAATAAATTAATAAATTAATTTTATATTCGTTTTTCATCTGATGCACGTGTTTCATGCTTTCCATCTGTCTTATCCAAAATGTAATCACCATAATACTGAGCAAGTTGGCTAAAGCAGTCGTACTTCTGGCTCATTTTCCACCAGTGCCTGGTCATGTCTCAGCTGTCCTCACAGAGGTTTTTCATGTTTTCCTTGTTCCCTGCCAGAAAATATTTGAATGGCATTTCAACATAGACCACATCCTTTCCAATTCATTATTTGCTAATCATTCAGTGCTATATTGGCTCTGCTTCTGACGACGTTGTTAAGTGTGCCTTAAATAAAATTGATCATCATAATATAATCATATGAAGAATATTTTGTTTTAATTGTAGAGCTCTTCATTATGCAGTTTTCTTCATCAGGCTTTACTTCCTCTGTCTTAGATAAAAATATTGTCATGAATATGATTGTAACTAATAAGATGGAGTTTGGTTTGGTAATTGCATTTAATGATCACTCCTTGTGCAGTCACTCATAATCACAGTAAATTGCCTAGAACTCGTTTCAGTGCTGATTGGACTGGTCTGCCTCTACTGAAGTGAACTCAATCTGGGTTTCCTGTTATATAACATTGTGTCACACCAACAGAAAATACCTTTCATTTCCATATCAACAGAAATAATTTTTGATCACCCGTACCCCATATCCAAGAAAATGTCACCCCTTAACCGGTTGGTTTCCAAGAATCCATCTTCACGGAAATGTGTCTGCCAACTCGTTCCCTAGCAGTGGTTCTACATGTCACTGTAATAAATCATTCCAAACCCAAAGCATCTATGTTCTTAGTTGTGATGTGTTTTGAAGTTGGACTGGACTGGCTTGAGATCATATCGAGTGGTGAATGTTGTATTAGCACTGAACATTTATATTTTAATACCAGAAGGTGAAACCACATTAAATAAAATGGTTCTTTGTAGTGACAGTAAGATGAAAGTTCATGTTGCTAGCCCTGGTGGATGAAAAAAAAAAATTTAAACTTAATTTAATGCTGTGTTGAAGTTGGTGCTTATTTCTTGGCTTCATTGTGTGACTTGTTTATGATACCATTTCCCATATTCTTGCCATAAGTCATACAGGTAAACCATTCTGTTCGGTTCTGTACATTTTTTTATGTTGCCTTATCAGTTCCAGCTGATATGATTTGTTTCTGTCATTACTTTACAGTTTTAGCATTTATGAACTGAGCACTATGCCAATGTGATAGGAGATTTTTGTGTACATTTTCCATGTTTCTGTGTTATCTGTATGTTTGTCAACTTGATGGTTGCTATGTTGCAGGTGACAAATGCAGTACTGAAGCTTATAGAACGTGAAAGGAATGGTGAGACCATCAATACAAGACTTGTGAGCGGAGTCATCAACTGCTATGTTGAACTTGGTATGTTTGCAGAGACATGTTCTATTTATCTGATTGTAAATTGTCTTTTAAAATCAAAGGTTTAAAAGGGAAGAAAAGCTAAAGGAACTTACTTACTCAATGAGCTGAGCCCTCCTGGAGGAGCCGCCATTCTGCCGCTACTCAAGAATTTCCCACCATTTTATGGAACCCGAAGGTTCATTACCGTGTTCACAAGAGCCCTCCACTGGTCCCTATCCTGAGCCAGATCTATCCAATCCATACCATCCCATCCTATCTCTCTAAGATCCATTTTAATATTGTCCACCCACCTACACCTTGGTCTTCCCAGTTGTCTCTTTCCTTATGGCTTTCTCCCCCATTCGTACTACATACCCTGCCCACCTCATCCTGCTTGACTTCATCATTCTAATTATATATTATCTTCCTCGAAATCTAAAGGTACTTATGTATATTAATTGTTATAGTAAGCAATTCTTAAAAAAAAAAATCCCTGTGTAGATACTAAAACTAAAAAGTTGCGAGACATAACTGGAATTGTTCATGAAAGCTACACTTTCTCATAATTTGCAGCTTGTAAAAGTTGGTTTCTTACAGAATTTAAAAACTTTTATAATCTGCGATCAAACATAATATATAGTTCCTTGCTCTGAGGAAAAAACATAAATTGCAAGTAGTTGAAAACAGTATATCTGGGAAAGGAGGCATAACGTATTGGAGTGTTTATAAGACTTATTTTTTCTGTGGAACAAAGGATGAAATTGAAAGAACACGTCTTTATCAGTTGATCTGAATATCAAATGTACTTTTTCATGGCATGTATTTTATGATGCTTGGACCATTGATGCTTTGGGATTATCTTTATGGTCTTGAAGGGAATTAGCATATTGGTACCTATGTTTTTCCACTTTTGCAACAGCACAGTCTTTTTTTTTTTTTTGGCAAGCGATAGCATAGTTGGTTGAGGCACTATGGTACAAGCTGGAATGTCATGGGTTCAAGTCCTGATGAGGTCATTGGGTTTTTTCAATTGACCTAATCCTTCCGGCCACACTATGGCCCTGGGATCGACTCAGCCTCTAACAGAAATGAGTACTACCAATTAATTAAATATTTTTTTCTGTGGAGTAAAGTGTGGCTGGCACATAAGGCTGACAACCTTGCTGCCATCTTTGAGCTGATTGTCTAGATAATGTGGGACCCTCGACGTCTCACAACCCTATGGGCCTTTATGGCCTGTTACAGGGATAGCTTTACTTTTTTACTTTTTTTACAGTCTTTTCTTATAATCCAAACATCATACAAGTTCTCAAAGGTTTGGGAAGTCTGCATAAGTGCAGTGCTTCTGCCTAAAACTTGTAGCTTTAAATGAAAATGCAAAATAATGGTTGAAGTGGAATGGGTTACTTCCTGGTACAAAAGACTGGAAACAGAATCTGTTCTTGTTAAGCTTACTCAACAGTGTTACAGCCTGCAGTATCAATAACATGCTCAGTGCTTCTTTCAGACGTGTGTTAGTGATACAGTAGCACATACAGTAATTCCTAGTTTAACACAAGGGTTATGTTCCTGAATTATACTCTGGATATCAGAGTTGTATGGTGCAAGTGTTTGGTCCTATTGGAACAAGGGATAAGCGGTATTGACCCCTAAAATATGTGTATACGAAAGCTCAGAGGCACAAAGTATTGTATGTACATGTGTACTGTAAGAAATGTTTTTTGTTTATACCTATTAGACATATATACAAACATAGAAATTAGTGTAACATGGTAACGATAAAGAAAGTACGGGCAGTATAGTGATGGAGTGTGGGCTGGATGGCTGGGGTTTGATTCCCAGCAGGAATGATACTTTTCTGTACCTCACAGCATCCATACTTGCTCTGGGGCCCACATTTTCTCCTATCCAGTGAGTACTGGGGCTTTTTCCCCAGGGATTAGTGCTGAGGTCAAGAATGGTGGAGCTGTACGTCCACTGCATCATACATTTTCGTAGCATGGTGCTTAATTTTTCAAGTACAGTTTACATTTCAGTTATGGGGAGGAGGTAGCAAATGTGTGTATGGTTCTGTCCATATTGTGATCCCTGTGATTGTCTGTATTTGAGGGACCTTTTCCATTATATTGTTTCGCTCACAACACTTCTGTTTTTTTTTTTTTTGGTAGGACTGAATGAGGAGGATCCAGGTGCAAAGGGACAGAATCTTTCGGTGTACAAGGAATCATTTGAGAATGTATTCCTGGAGGATACAGAGAGATTCTACACACGTGAGAGCACGGAGTTCCTTCGGCAGAATCCTGTCACCGAATACATGAAGAAGGTAATTTTGTGGCCCAGTTTAAATGACCGTGCCTACAGTTTGAATCAGTAAGGTTCATGTATTTTTTTTTTTAATTGCTAGTAGGGTGGGACTAAGTCCCTTTTACTGCGGCCACTTCTGGCCTATTGTACCAGCCCCAGATGATAGATGAGAGTGATTGTGGAGCATTGGTGGATTGAAGATTGGCAGGGGAAACCAAAGTATTTGGAGAAAACGTGCCCCAGTGCCACTTTGTCCACCACAAATCCCACTTGACCAGACCCGGGATCGAACCCAGGCCACTGCAATGGGAAGCCAGCGACTAACCACTTGAGCTATGGCGCAGCCAAGGAACGTGTAAGTCCTTGAGTGCATGCCTAAGTTTCAGCTTTTGGGCTATATGGAAACACTGAGGTGCTACTAAGGAGGATGCTATAGGAAAAAATGCAGAGAAAAACATGCATTATTATGTACACTCCTGCATCTCTGTTTTTGGCTTATTTTTCAGGCTACCATCCAGGTTTCAAATGTAGTAACGGTTTGTATTATTTCACAATAGAAAAGTGTCTTGCTAATGATCTCATGGTATCCATGGTAGGTAAATGCACTATCAAGTGGCTGAAGAAAGAACTGGTTTGAAAAAAAAAATCTTGTCATGGCATGTTAATATCTGACCATTGCCAGATATGGTAGTCTGTACAAAGCACCACTAGTTAGTTAGTTTGTTATTGGAGAGGGTGGGTTTCCCCATGCACTTAGACCTGTATTGGTCCATTGTGCTTCCCTCTATGATATTCTACCAGTCTCTATATCCTACCGGTACTGGTGCTTACCATCAGTCCCGCCCAGCCAGTGAGACCGGTTCTACTAGCTGAGAGGTATCTAATGCTTCCCCCATCTACCAGAGGTAATAGAGACTGCTGTTGGGCGGGAAACGTCCGTAATTTGGCTCAGTGACCTCCTTTGGAGATATGAGGTTCTTTTATGTGCCGTAAAGCTACGACATGGGACCCACGGCTTAAAGTCCCTCCGAGAGGACTTGTTCCCTGAATTTTTCCGCCCTTAAAAATTCGACGACCTCCGCCGGGTATTTGAACCTGCATACTATGAGTCATGAGGTGGGAACGTTACCTCTAGACTACGGAGGCCGCTAAGCACCACTAAATAATGAACCTTCAGTATGAGAGTGTAAGTATTTATGCTCCATAATTATGGAGCATAAATACTGTGCATTGATTATAATCAATGCACAGTTACAATGTAAAGATGGCTAATGCTTGAAAATATGGTGAAATATAAATATTTGGTAACAGCAGTAAGAATTGAAGAAGATTAGAGCATTGGACTATTAAACCAAAAGAAGATAATGATATTATGTGATCATATTGTTATCATTTTGCATTATACAACATGTTACCTCAGCAAAACTGCACAATCCTTGAACCCTGTTAACACATGAAAGTGGAGGTCTGCATTAAAATATACTAAATTTGTTACTTTGTAAGAAGTTTGCATGGCTGACATTGTTGCATTATCTATGGCATGTTAAGAAATCTTAAAGGTGGCGGTGTTCCCAGTAGTATGGTATATGCACCAGGTTTCAAGAAAATCCATCCACAGGTTCAAAAGTTACTTATTTATTTGACAAGTGTACACGCATGTAAACATGGATATTATGATACAGTAATCCTGTTTTTCTCATGTAATATGATCATAATTAAAATTTGAATATATACTTCTGTGGTCTAGTGGTCACAGATCCAGAGGTCCCGGGTTTGATTCCCGGTGCTACAAAATTTTCTGAGAAGTAGTGGGTCTGGAATGTTGTCCACTCAGCCTTGTGAGGATAACTGAGAAGCAACTTGAATGGAAAAGTAGCGGCTCAGATCTAGAAAACCAACATTAATGGCCGTGGGGATTTGTTGCGCTGACCACATAACACCCTCTATCCACTAAAAGTTGGCACTATCTTTGCCGAGAACTGGTGGTTGCTTGGTTGTATAGTTCCCTTGCAGACTAAAGGCATGGAGTTTGTTTGTTTGCACATACTGTAATGATCACATTATGCGGATAATATGAGAGAGAGTGCAAGTGTGTGGAGACTGACACAGAGTGCATATAGACTGATGATATACTCTTTATTGTGACCTGTCATTTCTGATTGGTCACTGAGTCAGTATAGTTTGCTTGCAGACTCAAGTCAGAGTTTGTTTGTTTGTTTGTTTATGTGGACATACTGTAATGATCACATTATGTAGATACTATAAAAGAATGTGCAGCTATGTGGAGCCTGACACTGTGTGTATATAGACTGATGATATACTTTCTTATTGGGACCTATCAGGTCTGACTGGTGTGAAGATTGTGACATGAGCTTTGTGTTGCAGGCAGAGCAACGCTTGCTTGAGGAACATAAGCGAGTTCAAGTATATCTACATGAAACAACTTTGGAGAGACTGGCTAAGACATGTGAGAAGGTGCTAATTGAAAAGCACCTGGAAATTTTTCATGCAGAGTTCCAGAACCTCCTAGATGCAGACAAGAATGAAGATCTTGGACGCATGTACCAACTAGTTGCTCGTATTCCTGATGGCCTTGGTGAGCTGAAAAACCTGCTGGAGAGCCACATTGCCTCACAGGGACTTGCTGCCATCGATAAATGTGGTGATTCTGCTAACAATGTGAGTTTAATTTTGATTGTTATTTCCTGTTATATGTTCACTTTTGCTACTGATGCTTCATGTTCAGAAGTTGACATATGTATGTGAGATGTCGATATATGAAGAGACTGTTCTATAATATTTATTTTAGTTGCACAGTATACACAGACAAACTTGAGTTTGAAGAAGTGAAGAATAATAATAATAACAGTAGTGAACTCTGTAACACCTTGAACATTGTATTGAAACGCAACACTGAACTAGAACTGTAGAACTGTGGAACTGTAATAAATGTTATAGAACAGTTCAACAAGTGGTTGTCACTTCATACATCGACATCCCACACTGGTGACCCTGACGTGTCAATAGAACTAAAGTCTGTGAAAAAGTCGTAACATAACTAAGTAATGAATCAGAACACACAGAACGACATCCCGTTGCGCGACAGTGGCACGACATTGGAGAAATGACTCCAAGAAAGAAACTCCCAAGGGAACCTTCGGGTGCCAGCGGAAGAAATTGGGCGTCGACCACAGAAGAACGATACGCCGGGCGAATGTGGAAAACCTCAAGACAGACATCCTCAGGAACACCACCCAGAAAAAGTGTGGACCCCACGAGAGGTTGGGATTCGCCAGCGAGGGGACGACCTTCCGTGTCAGAGTAGCACGGCGTAACAGGATCCCCAGAAAGAACTGGGTAAGGGACAACATACCGGGAGGAAACGCGAGAGGATACATGCCCGGAAGAGACAACGGGGGCAACCGCAATAGAGTAAGGGGAATAGGAATAGAGCCCCATAGAAAAATCCCCAGGACATACAGAAAGACGATGGGACTAATGATCAAGAAGCGTATAGCCGGATCTCCCGTCGGCCTACGACAAGGAAAAAGTTGGAAAAAGTGGAGGGGCCGACCCCCTCCAAAACGAAAAAAGGGAAACGGCCCTTATGGGAGGAACCGGTAACGTAGAAGTACCGGCCTCCCCAGAAGAACGAATGTGGGACGAATGAAAGCGAAGAACGAATGTGAGACAAGGCGACAGACAAATTCTGGACCACGGGAGTGCTCGGGTGCGAGCACTACCGAAGAGAGGGGCGGATGCGGTTAGATGAACAATGCACAAAGATGCCAGCAGGACACCAAGACCGAATGCAGACACTGTCAACAGAACACCATGGAAACGAAACCGAGGGAGAACCGTTAGGCTGTTCGGGGACGAACAACCTTTAGAAGGGAGCAATGTAACGTGTTTGCAATCCAAAGAGTCACTGCTATGGAAACGCTAGAACAGACCGTTACAGAGGAGACAACAATTGCTCAATTGTAGTTCTAACAGGAGTCTCCATGGTTATAACAGAAGGCTCACTGTGTAGCAACTGCCGCGATAAATAGCCCAGCTTCAGCGAGAAACAGTCAGTCTCGGAATAGACTTCGAAGAAGACAGTCTCGGAAGAGCCAGCTAAGAAGCCAGCCGTCATCAAGCCTTCGGAGAAGAAAGTCCCGGATCAGCCTTCGGAGAAGAGAGTCCAGTGTCTCGCTGAATATTGTGAGCAGTGACTGTAACACTGCAAGTGTAAATGTCTGTAAAGTGTGTGTGAGGCGAGCGAACGTAATAAACTCGCTATATTGGGACAATGGCGTGAACTTATTTGTTGCGTTATACACCCAATACGTGACAATATGTAAATGTGTCGGGGAACAACAGTAACAGATATGCACGAGTTTCATGATGAAATTGGAAGAGGAATCAATCCTGGAAATTCTTTCTGTTATTTAATTCAGAAATTAGTGTCCCACCCACTTTTCAAACACACTAAAGATCTTAATAAGAAAATAATGTTGCTATTCCTTTCATGTGTTTCATGAAAACAGAAACAACATTTGTATGTGATTTATAACCCATAACTGAAATAGACTTGCACTTTTATTGTTAAAATAATGGCATTAAATACAATATGTTTACACACACACACACACACACGCGCGCGTGAACACACAAGGGCAGAAGAAATTCTGCAAGGACTAAAAAGTCTGTCCCATCATCACAAGTCATATAAACACGGATTAACCAAGAGGCTTTTCCACAGAGTAAGATAATTACAATCACTTTTCTAGATCAGCCTTCCTTATGTGGTTGTCACTGTAAATTAAGTGTGATTTTCTGTTGCCAGGACCCCAAAATTTATGTTAACACAATATTAGAAGTTCATAAGAAATACAATGCGTTAGTACTAACGGCATTCAACAATGACTCGGGGTTTGTGGCGGCTCTGGACAAGGCATGTGGACGTTTCATCAATAGCAATGCAGTGACCCGACAGGCCAATAGTTCATCAAAGTCACCAGAGTTATTAGCAAAGTACTGTGATCTCCTGTTGAAGAAGAGCAGTAAGAATCCTGAGGAAGCTGAACTTGAAGACACTCTCAACCAAGTTGTGAGTACAGACTTTGAAATTGGTTCCCACATCTGTGCTGTAGATGTTGCGTGCCTGCGTACTGAAACCGGTTCCCTAATTTGTGTTAACTGCCCTAGACTAATGTAGCTGAAGGAAGAGGTCAAGTTCCATGGCTTTAGTTACAGCTTTTTTTAAACTTTCCATCTAGTGCTGCAAGTATTTACATTGTTCGGTGTTAAGAAGCTTTCTAATCATGAATTTGCCATCCATTGCATACAAAATGAAACAAGAATCACTCATGTAAAGACAATGCATGTTCACAACACAGTGTCACATGGTAGACTGATGCAATAGGCTTGTGGAAGTGTGACCTTGGCGTGCCCTCTCATCTTCTTTCACAGAGGCAGTTACAACAGTAACAGTCCGGGAACTTCTTGATAGACCTTGTAACGTATAGACCAAGCAGGCTCATTTAGTGGTGACACTCTAGGCTTGTATTCAGGAAGATGTCAGCCTGATTGTGAGTCATGACACAGCAGTCCTGACTGAGGGTTGTCATGGTTTTTATTGGGTTTCTAAGTAAATGCCAGAACATTGCCTTAACTGTGCCATGATTGCTTCCTTCCAGATGGTTTTCAATTCATCAGTCATCATATAATTTGATGCTGTATGGTCTAAATGGTAATGGTGTTGTGAAGTAAGTTCCATGCAACTCTTGATAACATCCATTCTTCACCATATTAACCCTTTCGCGCGGTCATTTAAATTCCGCGGCCGTCTCTCCAGCGGTAATATATTCAGCTGTCCATTTAAATTTTGTTCAAAAATGATTTATTCATCATTGTTCTTAAATTATATGAGATAGGAACATGAAACTTTCACTAAAATGATCTTAAAAGATGGTTTTATAACCTTACCTTATAATATGAGCGCCCTGTATCTCGGCAATGGAAGCAGGTTGGTTAGTATTTGAGCAGTGAATGGTACGCCTTGAAGGATGAAACTTTCACTAAAATGATCTTAAAAGATGGTTTTTATAACCTTACCTTATAATATGAGCGCCCNAATGTCTTTCCGTGACCCGTTTAGTTGCCAGGTCAGCTGTAGTAAATTCAACGTTACGAGTTATCATAACAAGGGGTTGTTGCTATGCCTTTGATATTCCATCCATTTTGGCGGCAGTAGATGTCGTAGGGGTGACCACAGAATTCATGAAGTTATTCTAAGAACTGGCTGCTATGTAGTGCACGAAAGCAGAGCTTAGCTGGCTCAAAAAAAAATATTCATGGTCATCCCTCGAAACGACCACCAAGGTCAGTACGATAAAATGGCGTCAACTGGAGCGATAGTACATGAAGGAATGAGTTCCTTTCCCCCCCAACACACACCAGTATCGTCATAGGGGGTGACCACAGTGTTCTGCCTTAATTCGTGACATTTTTCTAAGAACTGGGTGCTATGTACTGTGCGAAATCAATCGATCTTGCAAGAATAAATTTTTGTACATCCCTCTTCTAAGAATTCCAATTGAGTGTGTTAGTGTGGCCAGCTCAGGGCAATATGATATTATAAACACAGCACATATCACGTCTCTGCTGTTTATAACTTCATAGCAAAGAAAACACGCCATTCATAACAGTAGAACGAAGAAACCACTCGCAAGAGCAACAGGAACTTTGCTGCAAGACAGGCATATGTAACGATGACTTAGCGCAGATAAAGTCGTGTCTTATTATACTCTGTTCTACTGAGAACAGGCCAGCGAAAAATCTAACAATCTACAGCAAAACCATCAATTATTATGGGCGTTATAACATAGGTGTGCAGCTGGACGAAACATACATGTCGAACCCCCCCAGACGATTTAAATACCTGATGAAACATACACGTCAAACCACGCTGAACGGCTAGAATGCAGACATGTATTTTTGCAGATGGTTGTTTTCAAGTACATTGAAGATAAAGATGTGTTCCAGAAGTTCTATAGCAAAATGCTGGCAAAGCGGTTAGTCCAGCATATGTCAGCCAGTGATGATGCAGAAGCATCTATGATCTCAAAACTGAAGCAAGCTTGTGGCTTTGAATACACATCTAAACTTCAGCGAATGTTCCAGGTTGGTAATATTTCATAATATGTATTGTGTGTGTATATTTGTGTAACCTTTGATTAGCATAGGACAAAAATGTGTGTTAATAGTTTCAGTAATCTGAGAAGTGATGTACTGATAGCTTGATTTGAATTTTTAATCTCCTCACCACTTGTCTCAAGTTTCACACATAGGAATTGCCTTTTAACACATGATAACCTTATATCAAACAGTGTTTCAGTAGACATGTTCCATTCAGGAGTGTCTTAGGAAGAAGGAGGTGCGAGACTTTTGATAATATCATAACATGTCTGTTTGCAGGATATTGGTGTATCAAAGGACTTGAATGAGCAGTTTCGAAAACACCTCACAAACTCTAACGAACCTCTGGACATTGACTTCAGCATACAAGTTCTCTCCTCAGGGTCTTGGCCATTCCAGCAATCCTTCACATTCTCTTTACCCACAGAGGTATGTGTGGCTCAGTCCAGGCATAACTGGTAGGTTGGATTGTCCATTGGAAATCAGAATTATAAATTTTGTCTTAATGGAGTATGCAGTCTTAGAGTTCATAAAAATGTATAAGCCAAAGTTAGGCATTATACTCGTATACAGAGGACTTTGGCTTAAGAATGGCCTTGGTACCTTATAGTAGTCCTGCAACTAATTTGTACATATTTTCTCAAGAATTTCCATTTATTCTGTTATCTTCAGTGTGTTTCTTTACTCTCTTGTTTTTGCATAACAAATCCACTATAAAATCATACCAACATGTATAAAATTCAGCTATAGTTAACTGTTGAGGCCTACTTTGTCATGTCCCATGACCAAAATATTTTTCTTTTGGAAAAGCTGTACAAATCAGTATGTTGTATACAGCAAACTGCTTTAAAAATATATGGAATTATGTGTGACCATGTAAATTATTCTTGCATAACAGCACATGTTCCCATGGACAGGGTCCCAGAAAATGAGCTGAAATCAACCATCCAGTTAGGATAGTCCACTTGCCCATAGTCACTAATTACGCTTCATGCAAGTATTTCTTTCTCACTGCCAATCTCCGATAACTGTCACTAGATGAGAGGGTGAGTGAGTATATTTCTGGAGTATTGCCCACAGGTATATTAATGCACTTCAGTACTCACGTTGTCTGTTCAAGAATATTTGGAAATTTGTGGTTTAGACTTTGTAATACACACTTACGATTCTGAACCAAGCGTGAGGTACAAGTATAACCTTTTCAACATCACCTGCATAACAACATAGAGAAACTCACTTTTATAAATATTTTGGGACACAGAGTTAATGCATGAATTGTTATTGGCAGTTGGAGCGAAGCGTTCACAGATTTACAACATTCTACAGTGGCCAGCACAGTGGACGGAAACTCAACTGGTTGTACAACATGTCAAAAGGGGAGCTTCTCACAAATTGCTTCAAGAATAGGTAAAATGAGGACTCTTCACTTGCTGTTATACATAATTAATATAAGACATAACAGATCTGCTCTGTGAAGGCCTTTTCTGGAAATATATACTCGTATCAGTTTCTTAATTTAGTTCAAGTATGACTGAAATCTGGACCATTTTGAACTTTGTATAAGCTGGAATGAGCTGCAGTGTGAATGGCAAACATTCTGAAAGGATAACACTCCTGCTTCGTGTTTGAGAGTTCGCAGATTCATACTCATATCTTAGCTGAATGATTGCCTGTCCTCACTCAGAGCTCTTATGGTTTTCCTCGGTCCCTTGGACAGTTGCAAAGATACGAGTAGTACCTCAGATCAGGCTTCATTTTACTTCCAATTCATTATTCACTTATACTGTTTGACACTGTGCCCCATATGTTTTTTAAATCTTTGTACATATCATGTATTATAATTTTGGGCCCACAAAAACAGACTCTAAATGTTACATGAAAGTAAACAAAAAAAATCTCTGTGGCCTGTAGTCTGCAAGCAGACTATACTGACGGAGCGACCGCCGCTTGTCAGCGAAGTTAGTGCCAACTTTTATGGATAGAGGATGTCACATCGTGAGCACAACACGTCCCCATGGCCATTAATCTTGCTTTTCTAGACCAGAGCTGCTATTTCCTTGAAATAACGCCTCAGTTATCCTTAGGAGGCTGAGTGGACCCTGTTCCAGGCCCACTACTTCTCAGAAAATCTGGTAGTGCTGGTAATCGAACCTGGGACCTTTGGATCTGTAGTCAGGAACTCTGACCACTATACCACAGAGGCTGTCAGTCATATGAAAGCACAATTCATAAAGTTTGTAGGCTCTCTTTATATCGTCTAGTCCAGTGTTCAGCTCAAAGACATATACAGTTCCCGTGTGTTGATTTATGAATTGAGTTTGTATTGCAGCCACAAGTTCATTCAAAGAATGTGGTTTTGAAGAGTAAATGATTTCTACATGGTCATATGGAAAGAAGTTGTTGGGTAACAAGGTGGCCAAGTAATTGGTCCTGCTGAAGGTCTGTCACACACCTGTAGCATAGTGGCAGGAGTACCCTTTTGCTGGAAAAGTTGTTCTCTGAAGATATAATTGTCATTCTTCAGGGGTTAAAGTAGTCAACGATCTCAAAATGTTGTGTTTGATATTCTCAAGAATGTTTGAGATTAAGCAAGATGAAATGTTATGGGAATGGAGAACATTACATAATGAGCACTTTATAGTACAGTGTATGATGTTCTCATAGTTCTGTTAGAGTGGTTAAATCACAGAATATGAGATGTCTGGAACACAACACAGATGGAGAAACAAGAAATCCTACAACTTTTTATCTCTCATTTTTGGGAAACGTTGTGGAAAGAGACTTCTTGAGAGATTGTGTGTGTCTGTACATTATTATTTCTGTGTTGTTTTGCCTGTTTTAAATATTAAAAAGAATTAGTAACTTAATACAAGGGCTGCAACATAGCTCAAGCGGTTAGTCGCTGGCTTCCCACCGTGGCAGCCTGGGTTCGAACCTGGGTCTGGTCAAGTGGGATTTGTGGTGGACAAAGTGGCGCTGGGTCAGGTTTTCTCCGAGTACTTCAGTTTCCCCTGCCAATCTTCATTTCACCAATTGCTCCACAATCACCCTCACCTATCATCTGAGGCTCGTGCAATAGGCCAGAAGTGGCCACAGTACAATGGACTTAGTCCCACCCCACTAGCAATTAAAAAAAAGAAACTTAATACAAACTAATCATTCAGTATTGATGTCATAGGTACACACTGCAGGCCTCAACGTTCCAGATGGCAGTACTACTGCAGTACAATGGGTCAGAGAGCTGGACAATTCAGCAGCTGCACGAGTCGACGCAGATCAAACTGGACTTCCTTGTGCAAGTGCTGCAGATCCTGCTGAAAGCCAAGTTGTTGCAGAGCGATGATGATGAGAACGAACTGCATTCCAACTCATCCATTGCGCTCTTCACAGGCTATAAGAAGTATGTTGGCAACCCCCAGTAGGATTCTGTAGTAGTGCAGGGTTTTTTTTTTTTTTCATAATCTCTCTTGGCATTTCGTACCATGTGACCATTATGTACCAAATTCAGTGTGTGTGTTTAGCATCTTGTTTCATGATCATTAAGACCTGTTGCTGTGAACGTGAAGCTGGCCTTGGTCTCAGTCACACTGTAGAAGTTGTCTAGTCTTGTCATCCCCATGGTTGCTAATGGAATGCTTGTTATGGATGGCAGTCTCTGTTAATGGAACTAAAGAGCTGAGAATAGGTAGTACTGTGAATGCTATTTGTAGTCAAAGTTACCTCAAGTTCTGACAGGAAGGTGACCTAGAGGTTGCCAGGCATTCCCATCTCTATTAATTCTTCTAAATTTGTTGAACATCTGATAATTTTTGTTATAGATTTTGCACTTGTTGAGCCCCTGTGAATGCTGATATGCACAAAACAAAAATTTGTCACTTTTTATATCCTTGTGTTTTTTGTTATGTAACAGTGCTCTTAGGACTGTTACCTCCACCCCCCAGCAGAGGGCAGGACAACTCGGTCAGTATAGGGTGGACCACCGAGGAATTGGGGCTCAATTTCCTGCAGGCAGAAAGATTTTTCTCTTCTCCGGAGTGGCCAGATAAGCTCTGGGGCAAAACCAATCTCCTATCCAATGTGTTCCAGGGTGTCCTTCTACAGAGCTAGAGCAGACATGATGCTGACCATTCACCTCCATCTAGTGTTGAGGTTAAGAATGCATGGAGCTTTTCCTCCACTCCCTCATGTATCTTCACAGCTTGGAGCTTAATTTTGCACAGAGACCACTTTTCTCTTACCCTACCAGCAGAGATCTTTTCTATCAGCGTTGTGCTGTGCACACAGTTTTGGCATGAACTCCAACTTGCGTGTTCAGTTGATTACATTAACCTGATATATTGCAGCAAAAAGTTGCGTGTCAACATCAACATCCCAATGAAAACAGAACTGAAAGTGGAGCAGGAGACAACCCACAAGCACATAGAGGAGGACCGCAAGCTGCTGATCCAGGCAGCCATAGTACGCATCATGAAGATGAGGAAGGTGCTGAAACACCAGCAGCTGGTAGCAGAGGTGCTGAATCAACTGTCATCCCGCTTCAAGCCTCGTGTTCATGTCATTAAGGTAAATGTTCAGGCTGTAGTAGTGGATGCTGGATGAGGGTTACATTTAATTTGTTTCTTATGTAAAGTATCTAATTATTTTATTACAATTTATTTAATAACTCAGTCTGTAGATGATGTTAGTCAGAATAGTGTGAAATCGTTAACTTCCTGTAACCAAAATACACGTGGTTAATAACTGTCAGGGCAAACAAGTGAAGAAAATGACTATCCTAGACCCATGACTTACTTGATTTTTTTCCACCAAAGCCTACAAGCAAGTGATGTGTTGGAGTTTAACCACAAAACTTCAACCTTTGCTGAAAGTACTATTGCCAAAAACTATGCAATGATTCAGAACCTTCTGATCAGTGATTTGGGGGTCTGCAAAATTCAGATGACAGTGTAACACTAATCCAGTATGTCCATTTTGCAACCTCTGTCTTACAGAATTTTGTAACATGATCATGTTCTCTAGTTACATCATTTTTTTAGCCCATTGCATTGTGCCTTAGAATAGACATCACAAAGTGCAGTTTAGTTGTCCGTATTTGATATGGCTCCTTTATCATCTGGCATGAAGCTGGACTCCCATTGGCAAGAATATGTCATACGTACTTACATACCCATGGAGCTGAGCCTTTCTTGAGGAGGTGCCAATTCTGCAGGTACTCAAGAATTTCCCAGCATTTTATGGAACCTGAAGGTTCACAAGAGCCCTCCACCAGCCCCTATCCTGAGCCAGATCAATCCAGTCCATACCTTCCCAGTGGTGTCTTTCCTTCTGGCTTTCCCACCAATATCCTATATGCATTCCTCTTTTTCCCCCATTCCTGCTACATGCCCTGCCCACCTCATCCTCCTTGACTTCATCATTCTAATTATACTTTGAGAAGAAAAATATGTCATAACTTATAAAAATCTAACATCAATCAATATTAAAAATTAAGGAGAATTCTATAAGAATCTAGCACTAATCATATTAAAAATAAAAGAGGATTCTATAAAAATCTAACACCAATCAATAATAAAAATGAAGGAGAATTTTTGCTCACTCCTTGAGTATTCAGTGAATTTTATGTTGGTCCAGTAAAACACCTTCTCTACATGAAGCTCAAATTGACCTTTATTCAGAAGATTCAGGTTGCCACAGTGGAAGGCTTCTATCTTTTGAAATATGTGTTCTGGTAAAAGTTTGCTGTTGTTTCAAAAGAAATGTATTGCCTCTGAAATGGCAGTAAACTTCAACCAGACTGGATAGTATCATGGCCCAGAACTTTTCGAGCCAAATGTGTGTGGTAAATGAATATGCGTTACTGGTTAATCCTTTTTTAATTATGCGTTAGATCTGTCATAAGGTCACACCATAGCTCAAGCAGTTAGTCGCTGGCTTCCCACTGCAGCGGCCCAGGTTCGATCCTGGGTCTGGTCAAGTGGAATTTGTGGTGGACAAAGTGGCCCTGGGACAGGTTCCTCCGAGTACTTCGGTTTTCCCTGCCAATCTTCATTCCACCAATTGCTCTACAATCACCCTCACCTATCATCTGGGGATGGTACCTAGGCCGGAAGTGGCCTCAGTACAAGGGCCTTAGTCCCACCCCACTAGCAATAAATAAAACAGATCTGTCATCCACGTTTTTTGCTTTCAGATTTTTTGCATTTAACAGATGCACAATAGGCATGTTCAAGATTGGACCAAGAAAAAAAAATCTCAGTTTTCATTTGAATGTTTTTTTCCAGTCTGAAACTTAGAAGATTTTCATACATTAGTTTTTGCTTTGTGTGCCAGAATCTGATGTCACAAGGGACCAGTATCATGTTTGCACAAATGGAAGACTAGTTACACACATACATTTAAGGATTACAGAAGTTTCAATCATCTTGAATTTGAATGTTGTGTGTGTCCATGCACATGTGTAGGCATACTTGTGTGCATCCATATATATAAGCAATTCTTGTAATGCTCTTCTGCTGTGAGAGTAGCTAGTGAGAAAATGGGAGAGTTGTTTCAAGGTCAGAAGCTGAGGTGCTCAAAATACCAGGTTATGAAGCAAAGCTGTAATTCATCAACTTATCATTTACAATGGCAGTGTGGCGAGAAAGAGGTAGTAGTAGTGAAAGGGAATAATATGTCAGAAAGTATCAGGCACCGCAGCTATGGTTTTTACTCCGAGGTTATGGTGATTAAACATGCAGAACAAACAACCATTTGCGAAGCAGCAAGAAAATACATTGTCTCTTGAAGCAAACAGCCAAAAGTGGAAATGATGGAAACAGGAAATCTGCCAATTATGTGAGAAAAGCATAATTTGTACTGTTTCTGAGATGGAATGGAATGTCAATTTCATGCAACATTATTAAATACAGGCTGGAGCAGAGGAAACGCATGTTTTTCATATAAGAGTAACTTTGTTGATTTTCAAGATAAAACCTTTGTAATTACATAAAAAAGAAGGTATTTTAATACATTTTTTTGTGTAGTTAACACTTCGCAGAGCTGATGCCTAGGCCTAGGCGTTTGGGTTTTAAACATGGCAGACCGGTCGCCTAGATTTAGGCTTTTAGGACACGTTATGTTGCAACACACTATTCCTCGCTTTGGTGGCCACGTGTCTTTAAAAGTCCCTTTGATCAAGTCGAAGCTTCTATGTGTGAGGCAAGATATTCTCAGTGTCAACATGGCTCAGAGACGAAAGCAGTTGAAGGCCGCGCGAGCTCTCGGAGAAGACGAAATCTGTGATTTGATCTCCGATGAGTTACCTGACTTGCCAACTGCTTCGTCTTCCGATAGCGAGGGCATTGTCAGTGGTAGTGACAGGGGCTCCCAAAATATTGTGACCAGAAGAGAATGTGAAAGTGACAGTGAGAGCTCCGATGAAAATATGAGTGCTAGCATTGTGGGGACAGCCACTTTCCCACTTTGGGAAAGTTTACTGCTGATCCAGGGGTGAGACAAGTGCCATCGGACCCTACGCAAGTGTCTGAAGTAGCTGAACTGTTTTTTGGAGATAGTTTCTTTGACATGTGTCAGGAAACCAACAGATACTATCTCCAACACCGTGAGGCGTACGACACTACCTATAAGGTGTTGAAGTGGGTGGATGTCACTTCAGCAGAAATGAAAAAATTTTTGGTAATAATCATTCTAATGGGGTTTACAAAGAGGGATAATTTGAAAGACTGTTGGTCCACTGATCCATTTTTAGAAATTCCCATTTTCGGCAAACTCACGAGTCGTAAGAGATTTGAACAGATATGGCGGTGTTTGCATTTCAGTAATAATGAACTGCAACCACAATCAACAGGCAGGTTTTTCAAAATTCAGCCCTTATTAGACTTTTTTGTTGAGAAATTTCAGACAGTTTATAAGCCAGAGCAGCAACTGTCTTTGGATGAATCTGTGATATCTTGGAGGGGAAGGCTTCGTTTTCGAACGTATAATCCTGGGAAACTCACAAAGTATGGCCTACTTGTTCGTGTAGTCACGGAAAGCACTTCAGGCTATATTGGAAATTTAGAAATTTATTCTGGTGAAGGCAAGAAATTGCAAGAAACTATTGTTTCCATTTTGGATCCCTATCTGGATCAAAATTATCACGTTTATCAAGATAATTTTTATAACAGTGTGGCAACTGCAGAACACCTACTTTCAAGGAAAGTACATATTTGTGGTACAATTAGGGTGAACAGAGGCCTTCCTGCAGATCTGAAAGAGGAATGTAAATCCCTGAAACATGGTGACACCACATTCAGGAGGAAGGGGGACATTCTTCTTCAGTCCTGTAGGGATACTCGTATTGTGAATATGATTTCCACTATTCACAATTCGAGCATGGTCGATGTTCAAAGACGACATGGGCAAGTGAAGAAGAAGCCTCTTTGTATTTCTCAGTACAATATGTTCATGAAGGGAATTGATAGAGCCGACCAATACTTGGCCTATTATTCCCTTCATAGGAAAACAGTAAAATGGACGAAGAAAGTTGCCTTGTGGCTTATAAATTGTGCCCTTTTCAAATCATTTTTGGTTTTCAAAGAGCTAAACGAAAATTCAACTTTGAAATACAAGACATTTCTCATGAATATGGCAAAAGCCTGGGCTACAGACCTCACGGTGGCAGCAGAACCTGCGTCAGACACAGACGTAGTACGACCGGGACCATCTACTCCCACCCCATGGAGCCCTAATATGGACCCCCCTGGGCGACCCTCGGGTGATATGCAGAAACATACCCTCATGAAAATTGTGATGAGCGAACAGTCGACGGGGAAGTATCCTTCTAGGCAGTGCTGTGTGTGCACTGTGCACAAGAAGCAAAGCAAGACTTCCTACGTCTGCAAGTTCTGCATCATGCCTCTTCACAGAGGGGAATGTTTCCAGAAATATCACACTCTGAAGCACTTCTAGGAGCTCTGGTAAGTCTTCTCCAAAAATTTTAGTTCATAAAATTAATTAGGAGATTTTATATTAATTTTTAAAGTGAACAGTGCACAAGTTAGGGTAGTAGGTTTAAAAATGCCGGTCCCCAGGGTGATTTAAATATTTAGATCACCAGTCCGCGAAGTGTTAAAAAGGTTTTTTCTTGAAAATCAACAAAGTTATTCTTATGTGGAAAACATGTGTTTCCTTTGCTTCACCCTGTACAACAAGGGGCAGAAAAGTCCAGTACAGGGTGAGATGTACAAACAGTGCAGAGGAACAATGAAGAATTTCACTTTGCAAGAAGTTTCTGTTGCACTTCAAGGCAGTGACAATGAAATGCCAGTGTACTTTGATATGCCATCTAATTACACTATCCATTTTGTAGGTGCAAAATCTGTTGCCATATGCATCAGGCAGCAAAGAGATGCAAATAATTATATTGTTTACAGAGCTGGCAAACAGTGTACATATAACTACCACCTTATCCTGAAATGAAAAGCTATGCCTGGGGTGCATTTGCCTGTGCTAGTAACCAAGTGTCAGGATGGATTATTAAAAGAACTGGTGAACTGGTTAAAATATGAGTTTCCTGGAACAGG